CTCCTAGCGTTGTTTTACCAAACCATAGCTAAGAAAAAGCCAGCTCAGCAAAACTCTCATTGAACTAAAAAATGCTTGGTACTAGTGAAAGTAATCCTCATGGGAAAAAATCAAACAAGGCCTTCAACTACGGCAAACCCAGTTAAATGCAATTCGCCAAGACAGTAAACTAAAGAATTACCAAACCACAAGTGTGTTACTTTGGAGTCATCATAAGTACAGCAGCATCTGTGACTCTTCAGTCAAGTTTCTTGTGGCTGTAAAGCAACATAAAACTGATAGTTTTTTGAAACTGCAGGACTAATTCTTCACATACCGGGTACATACCGGGTTATAAACCTCACAGTCTCCCCTTCCAATTAATGTTTGAATTTTACGAATTACATTTACAAATAAAGCACTAAGCCGTAAATGAATTTGCGCCTCCAGCCTAAAAAACCAAAAAATAAAAAAAAGAAACCACTGCGTTACTTTATCAGCTAGCAACTCTAACTCCTACGCACCTTCCTTCCCTCTCCAACAAAAAAATTTTCAGAAACCCGATAAAAAGACAGCGTCTCTTCAGCCAAAAATACAGAAAGCGATAAATCAATATCCATATGTTAGAGCTACGCATCTGATGTTAAAGTTTTAGTAAAATATGTTCTTCCGTATGAAGCCAACAAACCTTAAGACACAGCATTTAGACGGGATGAACACACTAAGAAAAGAAATAACTGGAAGAAATTAGTAAGAAATAAGGCCATATAATAGCTAACAAACAAATTTGCAACGGCAAAAGCAAACTGCCTTGATTAGATCAACTTAATGATGAACACCTGTAAACCCAATTTTAAAAAAAAATACGACAAAAATGAACTTGAAAGAAGCTTGCAAAGCAGAATCATAGAAATTTGCGACTAGCAGCAATACCGCTACTCTATGACAAACATAAATCACTCGCTCTGTTACAGCCTACAAATAAATTTTTTTACACTAGAACTCCCGCCCTATAACGGTTTCGAATAACAAATATTTACGTTTGTAGGTCAGCAGAAAAACAGTCTCCACTAGTATATACAGTGAATAATAGAGGACTACTGAAAATATTTGGGAGAAAATGGTTCTAATAAAGCTTCAATTTCTTAAACGGTAATAACACAATAAATCATAGTATAGCCCGTTTTGAAACCAACTATTACTCGTTCATTAAAGGAACACACTGGAAATAGAAGACGCTATGAAAAAAAATATTAATTAAGATGAAATCCTTTTTCAGCTGTAGCTGTCAACAGCCGTTCTCTCAGTATTTCAGTGCTACTGTAATCAGGAAGTTTGAGATAATGAACACAAGTGTTTACTGATGGATAACTTCCATCACCACTATCGACCTTACGAACAACAGTCAAACGAGGATGCAGGTTCGCGAGACCTCCTGCAATAACGAATAAATTAAATTGGCATTTGAATCTAGAGTCTGAAAAATGCGATAATTCGGGACATGATCTGTCGACTCTACAATAACACTCTGTTAATACTTCCAAAGGTCTTCAATTTAAAGTACCGAAATAACAAACTTCTCGAAAATGAAGAGCAATGAGACAAATGTATCCAATCATAAACAACTACTGCGGAATCGTCCAGATAAAAAATAACATCAATATCAAACCTGGTGGAAGAGAGGAGCAACCGGTGGTAAACTGTAAAAATGATTTTCGTTCACTTGGTGTCATGCCAACTAAGACATCAACAAAACGGAGAAATCCTGGCGAGTCCTTAGTGTACCCCAACTTTGGCTCTGTGTAGTTGATTATATCATCTCGAGTCCACTCTGGATACTGTTCTCCTGATAAAAGTGTCTGGAAAAAGGATCTAATAGTCCACATATGAGGTAACAACCATAATAGATGCCTTGTAATGATATTTACCTGTACTTCTTCCGGGGCAAACATTCGCAAAGACTTTAGGGGAAAAACCGTGTCGAAACCTTCACGCAAAGCAGTAATCTAAAAAAAATTTTGATGCCAGTAAAACTAATATGCAAAAAATAGAAAAGAAAACATAAAGTCTCTCGTGATTCTCCTGTAAAACAAATGCGTTATGCTGATACATATACATCAGAATGAATGAACGGTACACATCTCTTACTCAGCAAAATGACGTCCAGTCATAACACGAAAAAAACCACGAATTCAAAAGAAAACAAAATGAGAGGATGAAGTTAAACCTGATTTCGAATGCCGGTGTTTAAATAAAAATCTGTGCACTTTTCAACGTATAAGTCCATGTTTTCTGTAGTGACGTCCATATTTGAGCCCCCTTCGACCAAATTTAGTTCGGAATAAGTAAATACATTTGACGGTGGGTTAACTCTAAAAAATTTAAGCATAACCTTATGTAAAAGAGGATCCCTGACGTGGTACAGAAATACTTACACAAAACTAAGAGAGAGATCTTCAACTGAGCATTCTGTGCCATTAACATTTAGCATTAAGCGATCTATGCGACGCCTTTTTACTTCGGGATCAAGACTCAAGTCTGCTTCTATAGCACGTTTTCTGCCAACCAAAGCAGTGAGCTCTTTGAGAATTCGTCCTAGAAAAATAAAACTGAAAACAAAGTAAAAAAATAATATGACAACCTCTCGTAGATATTTTAAAAATGATACACTTCATCACGATAAGAATGTAGAATAATCAAACCATTCATAGGAGAAACTTCTTCAAAATCGTCCAAGGTAAGTATGTTGCGCAAATCGTGAGTCGTCATATCAACTACCTAAAAACTTTGTTAATCTACATAAGATCTAGCTACAAAAACCACGTTCTTGAAAAAGACTTAAAAATAGTAAACCCCGGTATTCACAAGTAGTTTGAAGAATGGCCGAGCAAGAGGAAGGTCGACCAAACGGCCGTCCTGTATCACTTTTGCCAAGAATACCCCAAGCATACGAAACAGTTCAACTGCACGCTTATTATCTTCACTAAACGGAGGTAAGGCGGCAGGAAATAAGCCACCTGCTCGCCGCACATAATAGCTAAATAATAAGAAATCCAAATGTAGCTTTTGTAAGCAGCAAAAAAAAAAAAAAAAAAAAAAAAAAAAAA